ACCTCTTCTTTTAATACACTGCTTCACCATAGCCGTCTCTCAAATCAGAATCTCAGTCTGATAATCAGAATCCCAAACGATGACGGAAAACTCCTCCTCCGGCTCACAGTCGACGAAAGCCCTAAAACCCAAGCTTCCCATCAAGGTCCGGCTCTCTATCAACCTTCTTTCCACCATCACCGACGCCTCCCGCCGCTCAAATGGTACCGTAAATCGCCGACTACTTTCCCTCATAGATTTCCGCGCCGCCCCTAGCCTTACCCCAGTCCGCGGCATTCGAACCCTAGACCTCATCATCGATCCCTCCCGCAACCTCTGGATCCGCCTATTCCTCCCCTCCGATGCCATCGGCCACCGGAAACTCCCTATTGTAGTCTTCTTCCACGGGGGCGGATTCGCTTTCCTAAGTCCTGACAACCAAGTCTACGACGTCGTCTGTCGTCGACTAGCCCGCAAGATCCCCGCCGTCATTGTCTCTGTCAACTACCGCCTCTCCCCTGAAAATCGCTTCCCCGCGCCTTACGAAGACGGAATCGACGCTCTCCGATTCATTGATTCAGGTGGAATTGACGCCGTCGCCGGCCATATTGCTGATACCTCATTTTGCTTCCTGGCCGGCGACAGTGCCGGGGCTAACATCTCTCACCACGTCGCCCGCCGGTGGGCAGGCAGCGGTGGGTGGAACAAAGTGAAGTTGTCGGGGCTGATTTTGATCCAGCCATTTTTCGGGGGAGAGGAGCGGACGAAGTCGGAGATTAAGCTCGCTGGGGCGCCGCTGGTGTCGATGACGAGGACTGATTGGCGATGGAGGGCGTTTTTGCCGGTGGGTGCTGATCGGAACCATGAGGCGGCTAATGTTTTTGGGCCAAATGACTTGGGAGTGATGGAGGAGGGATTTCCGCCGGCAATTCTGGTTGTTGGTGGTTTTGATCCGCTGCAAGATTGGCAGCGGCGGTACGGAGAGGAACTGAGGGCGAGGGGGAAGGAGGTGAGGGTGTTGGAGTTCCCGGAATCGATTCATGCTTTCTATATCTTTCCGGGGATGGCTGATGGCGCGAAGCTGGTTGAGGAGATGGGAAAGTTCATATGGAGCCGGAGTTCGCCGGAGAAAGAGGTGAAGTAAGAGGTTGATTTAGGGTTTTTTTTCCTTAATATGTAAAAAATAAGTGGAGTCAATCATTGGGGGATTTGAGGCGCCCTCGACACGCACCCTTCGTCATATTTGACCTTCCGCTTAGCTGATGCATTCCAGATTTTCCAACCAAGTTTTCATTTACATTAAAATCGAATTTAATTTAGATAAATACTGATTTTTTAAACTTAAGTGATCAAAATGATCCAAACAACTTTCAAATTAATTTTTTATTTGAAAGAATTATACGCAAACTTGATGCAGGTAGGTGCATTCATGGATATCAATTGCACATTCAACGTGTTCGTGTTGCACGAAAATCAAACATATTTAGGCAATAAAATGATAGTAAGAGAAGACAGTTTGACTTTTTACGTAAAAAGTCATGGAAATAGAAAAAAATTACACGGAACTTAGCTTTGTTGAAGTAATTCATTATGCAATGGTAAGTACATAAATCCATTGTTCTCCTAAGTTGGGAATATAGAATTACAAACTTGATATACAATGATATTTCAACAATAATAACCGCAATGGACCACAAAGATCGTAGTCAATTGCTATGGAGGCAACAATATGTTGTGAATGTTGCAGATGATAGTTGTAGCGCCAGCTTGATATAGATGTCATAAGTTTGGTAGTAGTTGGCTATGTATGTAAATTGTTACTTCAAAAGCTTCATTTGGCAACAGAGCGCATGGTAGGGAGATGAAAGAATTGTGAGCCTTGTAGATCTTAGTTGGTCACATAGACTATAGTGGAGAGCTACGATAACTTCTTGAGGCCACATAGATCGGAGTTGGTAGTTGCAAAAACTATGATAACGTTCTAATTGTGAGCCTTGTAGATCTTAGTTGGTCACATAGGCTATAGTGGAGAGCTATGATAACTTCTTTAGGCCACATAGACCGGAGTTGGTAGTTGCAAAAACTATGATAACGTCCGTAGGCTGCAGAGGTCAGGTTTGGGAGTTGCATGAGATGTGTAATATTCGTAGGCTAGAGAGACCGAGTGTGAGAGTTACATGAGTTGTAAAAAAGTACGTAAGTTGTATAGGACGAAATTGGAAGCCGCATGAGCTGAGATAGCTTTCATAAGTAGCAAACATCGATGTTGAGAGTCGCATGAGCTATGATAACATTTTTAGGCAGTAGAGACCGAAGTTGGGAGCTACATGAGCTATGATAACATTTGTAAGCCACAGAGACCAGAATTGGGGGAGTTTCTCAAGCAACGACAATGTTTATAAGGCCACAATGGCCAGAGTTTGGAGTTGTATGACCTGTGAACCACTTTGGTCGTTGCTACTTATGTAAATCATAGTGGTGTTTTTCAAAGAGAGAGCCTCAGGAGTTCAAAGAAAGTCATTGTATTCTGAGTATGATGGTTGTAAGCAATTATTGTGTGGTGTGTTGTTACATCACCTTCAAAAGATGTTCTTACACCGTCTTTGGGATGTATTGGTATAATGTATGTGCGGTGCGCGTTGCACAATCTTTAAGTGGTTGTTTTACCATCTTTAGGATATGTTGCTATGTAAGATGCTTTGTTACTCCGCAAGACGGGGTGTTACTCTTTACGGTATTTTGTTACTCTGCAGCATATTTCGGGATTCTACAACGAATATCGTGATTCACTATAGGAATAATGGTCGTTTCAGATGGCAAAATTCTGTCGGTTTTGATGAAAAAAATTGTCATTTTTAATGTTTCAGATGGTTTTAAGCTCGTAGATAAAATGCTCATTGGTAATTTTAAATCAGACTAATATTCTGATAGCATACAATTAAGGTCACATAATCGATAATTTAATGTCATAGTTTTTTTTTTAGAAATTTCAAATTGTTAATTTTCATCAGTTCATATATATGTCGGTTAATTTGTCAGTAATAACGACGACTTACATGTCAAAAAAGTATTGTACTTGTCGATTTTTTGACTCATGCGAACCATTTTTATGTGTCGTTGATGCGTCGGTTTTTATAACCGACAGATGAACTGTCAGAAAAGTGTCGTTCCTATCATCTTTCTTATGTAGACATACTATCGGTTCAGTGTCGTTGATGCGTCGGTTTTGATAACCAATAGATAAACTGTCGGAAAAGTGTCACGACTGTCGTTTTCGTATGACACACTTAAGTTGTCGTTTAGACGTCGACAAATAAGTCCATTGGTTAAGCTTTCGGAAACCTGTAGCATCAGAAAAAAAATAGATTATTTCTTTTGTATTTACATTAAGACATCTATTATCATAATATTTAATATATCATTCCAAGTATTTAATGAACTAAAACAATAGTAGAATAGTAAATTATCCATATAAACTGTAAATAATCTGAATATATACATATAAGATTGTGTGGTATGTTATCTAGTGACTCCTATACGAGAATATATTCTTATCAAGAACAGGGCCAATGCCTTCGATAACTTTTTATCAAGAGCTCAGCAGTATAATACTCATTAAATATAATCACGACCTTAAGAAAGGAGGGACATTTCATGCTAGGATTTTGGGTTATCTAGAGTGAGTACAATGTATAAGTACTGATGCGTGCTAGAAAATTCGCGGTGGTAGAGTAATGGATTATCGTCTTAGCGTTGCGCGAGGATTCAACACATACTCAGATGAAAATGATTCAAGCTGTAATGACACCATAAGTTTTTACGTGAAAAACCCGTAAAGGGGAAAAACCACAAGGTCTGGCCCAGTTGTAAAAATCTACTATAAGTTGATGATTACAGATGTCCCTTGTCCCACAGACGGGAAAGGGTTACTAGCTTTCTAAGTTACAACGTCGACTGACGAAGTCTAGTCAGTAATGGTCGACGGAGGTTGGCGGTGATCGACGGTAATCGATGACAGTCAACGGTGGTTGGCGAAGGTCAGCAGCGGTGGTCGACGGAGGTCGGCGGTGATCGACGGTAATCGATGACGGTCAACGGTGGTCGGCGAAGGTCAGCGGTGGCTGACGACAGTCGATGACGGTCAGTGGTGGTCGAAAGAAGTCAGCAGTGATCGGCGGCGATCAACGATGGCCGGCAGTGGTGGTTGACGGTCAGTGGTGGTCAACGGCAATCAACGATGGCTGGGATGATATTGGAGTTGAGCTCCTTCTCAAAGCCTCAAGTTCTCTATTAAGCCTCCTCCCTCATATGAGGGTTGAGACTCTATTTATAGTGTTTTGAGTGCAATTAATGCAGGAATATGAACTATTTTGATTGGACGGCTCGGAGAGCTTCCCTTGATCAGATGACGTTTGATGGACATTTGAGTGTCTTAACGATGTCAGAATTCAGCAATCTTGGACTCGTTGGATTCTTCTTGTCGAGACGCTCGATTCGACTATAAATTTGCTATATTCGACATCCGTTTGACCTTTCAAACGCCTCCGGAAATCCTCCAAGAGTAATTTAATGATTTGATCCGGGTTTGATTTGACTCGAATTGGACTGACTTTCATATCATTAGGTCTGTCTCATCGAGTCGATCAGTTTGACTGTAAGTTTGCTAAAATCGGAGCTCTAGATGACTCTTAATCGAAGTTTGAATATTTCAAAAAATTGCATTGAGATTCGTGTCGGATGATGAAAATTTGTTGGTGGCGTATCAAGCACTGAGGTCCAATTTGACTTATCAATATATATAAAGATAAATTTCAATTTTGGTAAGCAAGGGTAAATGGATATTGAAGGCCTTGATGACCCTTATTCAAGAAGATATTCTCATATCATCATCTTATCCACTTCAACATCCATGAAGACTAAAAGAACACTTTGTAAGCTAATTGGAAAAAAATAGTTTTAATTTTTTTCTTCATTATAAGAAAAGGAGAGGAGCCAAATGATCCATAAAGAGAACTTTCTCAATTTAATTAATGACATGATGGTTCATTTCAATTTCGAGGTTGATTAGAAATTAAAGTGAGAAATTAATACTTGAGTAGTGTTTGTTTAATTATTAAAATTGCTTTGTATAGTGTGATGCTCATTCAGAGTTTTTTTCATTTCAATTAACATCAACAAATAGTTGTTGTTGAAGTTGTTCTTCTTTGAGTAATTAATCAAAAAATAAAAATGCATGAAACAAATTTTAGTTTCTATTTGTAGATTTAAACATTTTGAGTTTTGTATAGAGAGCAAAACTGTGATCTCTGTGTAGACAAAACAAATCTGATCACCCTGGCGTATCTTTGTCAAACATTGTCAAATAAAACCTGGAAACTAGGCATGCGGACGAACAATTTTTGCACATGAACTAATAATAGTAAGAGTTTGTCATTTAAGTTTCACAACGATGGGACACTAATCTAAATGGGAAAAGAAAAAATGTTATAAACAAGTAGCAATTATAAGAACTCTTTCAAATTTAAATTTGATGGGTGTTTCTTCTTTATTGTTAAAATGAATATATGAAATACATGGCAAACGTTAAACATTACATTTTTGAAAATGAAAGGTAGGGAAAGAGCTTCCTCATGACCTTTTCATCTTAATTCCCACAACTTTTGCAGTCCTCATAAGTTTTATCAAAGTAAATATAAATTTATTAATTAAATTATTCATTCAATTATTTTTTTTTCAAAAATCTTTATTTTATTAGAAATTATTTTCATGTTCAAATTCCACATGGAGCGTTATGTGAAAATTTAATATACTAAACTAAATTATTTTCTACCACACGTTTATATATGATTAATTTTTTTTTTATTATTTTGAATATGTTATGAATTCCCACATGTCAAATATTTTACAAAATCTTTCAACATTATATATGATAATATAAATGTTTTATATTGCATACAACTTGCATTATTCTTTAAAAAGTCAAGATAATTTAAAATTTGTCTTATCCCTCAAATTTTGTCACTTTAATTAATGCATCTTATGCTCTAAGCTTAGTTGAACTCAGCTCATAAATTTAATTACTCATTCAATTAAATCTTTTCAAATATATAATTCTTCATTTGTGTGTATTCAAAATTTCTCATTTAATTTAATGGCTTCACGATTTGTTATCTATATATACATCTAAGAGCTGTGCATTTGAAAAAATTATTTCATACGGACACCGTATGCAGAAATGTTCTGCATAAGGTGTTCAATCTCCACCATCCATCACAACAAATTTGTTCTTAAAAAAAATTTTTAATATGGCTCACCGTCATTCATCTTTGTTGTAATGGACAGTAGAGATCGGACACTGTATGCATTTTTGCATACGGTGTCTGTATTGAACAATTTTTCATGTGGTTGTGGGTGTGTGGCGGGTAGGTTTAATTACGCACATGACATAAATTAAGCATTATATAATCAAGTGTAGCATCAAATTCTGTTCAAATAATGTTTGGACAAATGTAATGCTTTTTACAAGCATTGGTTAACCGGATTTTTTGATGATTTAAAATGCTAAATAGTAATTTAATTATCTATTATCATTTAAATTATTTACTATATTATTTATTAATTTGAATATGATTTAAAAGTTGAGTTTTTTTTTTTCTATTTTGTTCTTTTTGAATTCCTTATTTCTTATTGGATTGTTTTTTTTTTTATTGTGAATCCCTTAAATCCTGGTTTGATCAATGCATGATTGAGTGAAAAAAAATATATATTTTTTCAAATTATCTGTTTAGCTTTCTAGCCGTTTACATTAATTTTCTCTTATATATTTTCTTGAAAGTTTAAATTTTGATTTCACATTGTTAGATGTCATGAAGAGGGGAAATATTTGTGTACGTAAGACGTACGCATCGCTGCATAAGTCGGGAGGTTATTCAGAGGATATAAGAAAGTTATATTCGTCTTATACCTCATGTAACCTCCCTGTAACCTACCAGTAACCTACAAATAAGTTTCATGTTTCTGTAGTTGCGGTAGGTACATGTAAGTTACAGGAAGGTTATAAGGGGCATAATGCGAATATAACCCTCCTATACCCTCTGAATAAGCTCTGACACACGCAGCGCTGCATACGTCTTACGTACGCAATTATTCCCCCTCTTCATGACAGCTAACAACGTGAAATAAAAATGTCGCGGACATTATAGAATCATCATGCACACATAATGAGCTTTTGACATGTTCTTTTGTTAGTTTTGTTTATTGCACTTAATGGCCAAGCTTGTACTTGATTTTATTTACTCCTAGATGAGATCATTCATGCCTTTAATGTGCTTGTTAATTGCTTATGGAGCACTTTATCACAAATTAATGGGTTATCAAAGATTCTTCTCACCTCTTTGGGATTCATCATTTTGAGAAAGAGTCAAAGAAAGATTATTTTTTGAGATTCTTGATTAAAGCTCATCTAACTCATATGAATATATTGATCATTATAGAATCAGCATGCACACATAATGAGCTTTTGACATGTTCTTTTGTTAGTTTTGTTTATTGCACTTAATGGCCAAGCTTGTACTTGATTTTATTTACTCCTAAATGAGATCATTCATGCCTTTAATGTGCTTGTTAATTGCTTATGGAACACTTTATCACAAATTAATTGGTTATCAAATACTCTTCTCTCACATCTTTGGGATTCGTCATAGTGAGAAAGAGCCAATGAAAGATTATTTCTTGAGATTCTTGATTAAAGCTCAGTAAATCCTAGGAGTAGATCCATAATTACTACGAGAAATCTTCTCGTGTAGATAACATCATGATCCTTTTGACTCATCCTTCATATGGGAAATAGTTTGCTCGCATAAATTATTTTTTTTATGCTTTAATTATGATTTCATCAGCTATAATTCTTGCATAGCTGATATGAATATATTGATCATTATAGAATCATCATGCACACATAATAAGCTTTTGACATGTTCTTTTGTTAGTTTTGTCTACTGCTCTTAATGGCCAAGCTTGTACTTGATTTTATTTATTCCTAGATGAGATCATTCGTGCCTTTAACGCGCTTGTTAATTGCTTATGGAGCACTTTATCACAAATTAATGGGTTATCAAAGACTCTTCTCACCTCTTTGGGAACCGTCATAGTGAGAAAGAGTCAATGAAAGATTATTTCTTGAGATTCTTGATTAAAGCTCAATAAATACTAGGAGTAGATCCATAATCACTACGAGAAATCTTCTCGTGTAGATTACATCATGATCCTTTTTACTCATCCTTCGTATGGGAAATAGTTTGCTTGCATACTTACCTCATCCATTCGGTTCAAACAAAAATTATAGCTGATGAAATCATAATTAAAGCATAAAAAAATAATTTGAACTGGACTTGGGAAAGTATGAGAACAACCACTGAGATACTGCTCAAGCATCTCAGTGAAAGAAGTACGAGCCACAAGAAAACCATAATTTTCCATCTCGACCACCAAAATGAGAATCTTGACAAAAGAAGGAATGCACGTTGCTTAATATATTAACATGTTGATGTAATTCAAGATAAGGAAACTCTTAAATAGTCACATACAATAAAGTAAATTTGGAAAAATAAGAATAATATTGTCACTTCTATTGAATTCATGGCCATAACAACAAAGTATGTTATTAGCTTAAAGATTGATTGAAAGGCTAATTCGATAAGCTTATTTAAGTAAATTCATACAAAGTAAGATCTCTCAGATAAATAACACCATTACTAGGGGTAGAATGCACAAAAGCAATAATAAGAGAGCCAACAAAATATCGATAAATAAGAGCAATCGTGGGACGACCATTAATCTTCAAGAAGTCCTTATCATTATCTATAAAGAAATTCACCAAAGAAACATTGTGTCAGTCACCATCTCCTTTGATGAATCTGCTCTTGAGAGTGACAGAATCCCTCAGCAAGGTCATTTTGTTATAAGCATTAGAATTGGTGAACCTTATGATAACATCAAGGGAATCTCAATTGACATAGAAAGCTCAATTGATGTCTTCTTTTATTCAGCTTGTTCTGGTTTAGAACAGACTAAAAGAAAACTTCAACTTGATACAATGACAACTCTGTTACCCGTAATTCAGCAGGTTTTAAAAATAATTAGTATATATTGTACTCATAATATATTAAAATTTAATACTTTATCTATAAAATTATTAAAAATATTTAAAAAAATTATATTTTTTCTTATATATCAAGTAATTTTTTATTGCTTATCTTCTGATATGCTCATTCTATTCATTTTATTATAACACTAATATGAATTAATATTATTTTCTCTTTCATAATAAACAATATATTAGAACTCGTAGAATTAAGTTTAGACTCGCTTATATGATTAAGCTCGAGCTCGAACTCGATTAATTAATCAAGCTCAAGCCAAGTGTGGTTTGAGCTCGACTCGGCCCTCTTACACCCGCTAATCCCAACTCAAGTTACGCAAAGGAAAAAAAATAATGCAATCCTGGATCTAGGAACCAAGTTCAAATAGAAAATTTAATATGAGCAGATTCGATAAAGACGTTACCCTCCAAGCTATAGAACAAACGTTACAGCCAGGTCCGGACTTGCAACAGATGATGTTTATGGCTTGTAGATTTATTTAGCTATTTACGGAGTATGATATAAAATGATTTTACTACTTATTTTCGGGTTTTATCAAGCACCTCAATGTATCTTTTGGGGACGCCATAGTCGTCAACGAGATGTTTAGCAAGGTCGTCGATCACTCCACCCTGTACGAGCACTTCATATTGTCCCTTTTTCCCTGAAATGATTTTGACACGAATATTTCAATAAATTGGAAATGGGAATGGATTAAATGCTTCAAAAATGAGAAATAATCAACATCTAGACCGAATGGGACCACATGAATTAACAACAACAAAAATAAAGTTTAATGAATTTTGGCTTAAAAATCCAGCAAGATAATATTATCATGGAAAAGTGGTGCAAATTTCCCTTGCCAATAGAATGTGAATATATGATGTTATGTCAGTAGGGTTTTATATAAGTGATTGCAAGAGGCTCAGCGGCCACACGATCGGGGTCGACACCCATCGTAGATGTGGAGTTTTAAGCTAAGGGTGTCAATCAATAACCTAACCTCAACACGACTGAAAATATTTGGGTTTGTTTTGACTATGTTGCTACTTTGGTCCCATTCGAGTTAAAAGTGTTGTTATTTGGGGTGGATTTGAGTTGACTCAAACAACCCAAGTCACCTTTTTTTTCACTGCTTGTATAAGGCTATTCAAGCGTTATTTTAATTGAGTCATGTTGATTCAAGGAAAAAAAATTTTTTTATGATCCATATAATTAACAACATAGCAAGTTCGGTTTAGGTTATAAGCTGATTCGGGTTATATGTTTTGGCTACATAATAAATTGGTTGGAGTCAGATCAAGTATATTTGAGTCTGATCAACCTTGGCTCAAACCCAAAACCAATTTGACATTCCGAATCGATACCCCTAGCTTAAGCACATTATTTACTAATTTTCAATAATTATAAATAAAAATTCTAAACAACGTAACAATAAATAAATAAATAAACTACTTTTCTTATCCTGTGTTAGCAAGCTTAACTGTCAAATAGCATTGCCCTGCTAATTCAAACAATCATAAGGCAGTCGATGGGCCTTCGATGTTCCTTTCTCTTATAAATGGCTTCTATTCACTAGAACTTCAACTATCTCCAATTATCATAAAAATTTAAGAGGTAAATTTCCCTATCTCAAACAACCAATTCATTTTGGATGGCTGGGATTATTTTTCATGATTTTGAAAATGGCAAGCATTAATCAATCTGGGATTAATAATATCTGATTTCTTTCAGTAATATGACAAACAAACGGAAGGCTGTACCAAATGAAGTACAGCCTAAAAAGTTCCACTAGGAGCACAGATTAGAAGCCAGTTAAGTTAATGTAAGATCAATTAATAGTTTCCACCAAGATGTTGAAGTTATGAGAATTATTATATTGTCAAATTAGTTTTATCACATGCGATTTGAATTTATTGTAGGAATCAACAATATTAATTTTTGTAATATAATCTTGAGGTTGAGGATATTCTACTTTATTGTGTTTTCCTTATTTCTACTTCTCTCCTTTATAAAAGCATGTTTGTACTCGCACTATCATGGAGCAAGTAAAAATGTAACATTTTATGATTTCTATCATGTACATAGCTCTAGTCAGTTCTCTCCTCCACATTGACCATTCCCCAGCGTTGATCAGTGTCACCTTCTATTTCCTCGTCTTTGCGCGCCAGATGTGTGGTTTTGTAATTTTATTTCTTTGGTTATTTTGTTATGTTGTATAATAAATTCAAGGTAAGAGTGATCGTCTGATGGGAGTTCATGTCAATGAGGATGCTGTTTGGATGTTCAAGTCAAATGTACAAATTCCATGGAAACGAAACTTAAATTATCTTAAAGAAAAGTTCTCAGTTAATGATTGGTTGGTGAATTAGAAATTTGAAAGGAATACTTCGGTGTTCAATATAAGATGTTTATTTGTTGTTTAAAAAACAAAGGTTTTTCATGATTTTCACAATAGTGGTCAAGAAGACCCAACCTGAGGTTTGGAATTACTCAAGATAGGAGCAAACGGTTGAAAAATGAAAACTAAGTTTTTATATTCAATTATTATTTAACAGATGAAAAAGATACTAATCAAATTAAATTAACAATAACACCAAGCTTTTATCCCACTAAGTAAGGTCGGTTACATGAATCTTTTTTTCTCCATTGTGTCCAATTAAGTGTCATATTTTCATTTAGTTATAATAAATTAAGGTCATTTTTTATATAATATGCCCAAATCTTTCTAGGTCTACCTCTGTCTTTTTTAACATAAGTCGAATCTAAAACACCTACTCTGCTAACTGAATCATCAGATGGTCGACGTTTAATGTGACCAAACCATCTAAGAGGACTCTCTCAATTTTTCTTCGCCACTAGAGTTACATCAACCCTATCACGAGTATATTCATTTCATATTTTGTCTCCAAGTGTAAAGTCACTTATCCACCTAAGCTTTCTCATCTCAGCAACACATAGTTTGATATTTCTCTTTTAAAGACCAACATTTTGCGCCATAGAGCATTGCAGTTGTCACCACCATCTTATATTTTTTTTCCTTTCAGTCTAAGTGGTACTTTCTATCACACAATAAGCCTGAGGCATTCCTCCACTTCAACCAACCAACTTGAACTCTACTAATAACATCCCCATCTATATCACCGTCACTTTGAACAAAAGACCCGAGATATCTAAATAGCTCACACATTTTAATAATTTGATCACCCGTATTTACAACTTTGTCACTAGAGCTACTACTACTAATCAAATTTAAGGCAATTACATGCATACCACTCGAAACTTGCTATTTACATTGCTATTTACGAAACTTGCTATTTACAAATCAACCACCATCTTTCATCCATTTTTCAAATTCTCACTCAAATATCAAAATTCATGGTAAAACCCCAACCCATATTTACATTTTTCTCAATTTCTCGATAGTTAGGCAATTACATACATACCACTCGAAACTTGCTATTTACAAATCAACCACCCTCTTTCATCCATTTTTCAAATTTTCACTCAAATATCAAAATTCATGGTAAAACCCCAACCCATATTTACATTTTTCTCAATTTCTCAATAGTTAAATCGTAGCACACCAAAATCTATCAGCTCGGTAGTTCAAAAAAATCACCTAGGTGCTTATTTTGTAAATATCAATGTTTCGAGGTATATTATCTACCTCATTACTGGTTGTCTGCATCTTCTATAAACATTTTTTCTCTATCAGTCATCTTTTAATCAATTAAATTAACTTGAAAAATTGGTTTAAAGCAACGATGAGCTAACCAAGGCCAGTGATTACTCATACGCTAATATTACGCAAGGGAAAAGAAAAACAAAATGCATGTCAGATGAGCTTTTTAATGAATTAATATAAACATTTAACAAGTTATTTAAAGGACCTTAATTTATCAATAGCATAAAAATATCGTCTCATATATGTACAACTATCACAGAAGTACCTTCTAAAAATTCATACCAATTAAGATAATTCAATATCAATATTTTTTTTATATATGTGCGCAGGTACATTAATGTTCCCCTATTAGTAACATAAAGAGGTAACTCCATCAAAATAAGTCATACAGATACAAACATTCTATCAAAATTATTATTTAATTATTTACTAAAAATATATTTTTTACTAAAAATATATTTCATTCACATTTGCATATCAGACAATATACTTATAAATCATTTAAATGATAATTTAAATAATACTTTGCACATCATTCCTACAATATGAACAAAATTTCACTAGAATTCAAAATATGGAGTTTACAATATTTTCAATTTAACTAAGTAAATGCATTTGGTTTAGAAGAAGCAGAATATTGTTGTAATATAAGATGAGAACTCACATCGATGACAATTAATTTGTTATTAAATTTGTCTTGACGTCGACTCTTCTAAAATTTGAAACCTAACATAAACATGGTTATTTATAATAAATTAATTTATTTATTATTTTAACTATATAAACAAATACATATGTAGTCATCCAATTTCTTTTATTTTTTAATGAAGTGTATAACCAATTAATTTAGCCAAATTTTTATTCTAACATTAAGCTACATTATATCTTTGTATTACTATATATTATACCATAATCTATTTTCCTAAGCTAATTAACATGCTTAACTTAGAAAACCTTTAAATTGGCTTGTAAGTATAATTTCATATAGAGAATGATTAAACATTTAAATTAAACTTCATAGTTGAATTCCTTCTTGCAGCACAATTCTCTTTTTTGTGCTTTAGCCTTTTTAGTTCTTACTGATTAGCTTCAAACAATTGATAATAAAATTGAAATCAATTTAATATAAAGTTTCTAAATTTTCATTTTAATTAATTATAACAACTCAAATAATTAAGCATCTTACCTTACCTTCTCGCCCTAATTCATTTGAACCAAACAACAAGGCTCGCTCGAGCCCTGACCCTCGCAAAACTATGTTTTCCTCCCTTTTGCGTGCACGAGATCGGATCGAGAGCCTTTCTCGCAGGAGAACTCTTTCGATCGAACTCCAAACGCACATAGCTTCGACTCACTCCTTCCTCAAACTTCTCATTTGCACTGAGCCACTCGAACCCCGCCCTCTTTGCTCTCGCACGTCACAAGCACACGTTCCTCTCGCCTCATCGTCCTCAACAAGGTACTGGTGTTGACTCCAATGACACCGACGCCGCCTCAATATCAATCAAAACACGAGAAGCCATAGCTAGCTTCTGTCGTCTCTCGTACGCACCATTTGACTCTCCAAGTAAGTCAACAGTGAAGCTTTATAGAGCGAAATCGCCTCTTTGGCTTCCGACCCCCTCGCTCCCTCTCCCTTCCTTCGGTTGCCCGACTAATCATTTCTTCTACTTATGTTTGATTTCCCGACTCTTCACTTCCTCTTCTTCAGTTCTTTATTTCTTGTCACCCGGTAATAGAAATGGGCTGTTACAGGGTTGAAGATGTTGACGAAGACTCTGTTTTCTTTAACAATAGTGTAGTAGCAATAATTACATGAGCAGTGTTATAGTGGTTGGTTGCAGTAGTATTATAGTAGCAATTACAAACAATAATTGCATTGACAATGCAAGGGTCAAATGTTTGATTTGTGAATCATTGCAGCTTACAGGATAAGTTCCACCTTTTTTTTTCTTCCCCCAACAGATTGCAGGCTTTCTATCAAGTCACTTTAGCTTCCATATTATTTTATTTTCGTAGTCAAACCATTGATATTTCTTGCAACCTCATTATATGTTTATGGGGCAATGTTCGAATTATTAGAATCATTACGTGTCATTAATATTATCATATATGATTTAAATTTACAATAAATAGTATTTATTATTATAATACATCATTATTATCAAGAAAACTCTACTTTATTATATTTTTCATGTTAATATCTTCTGATCCTATATATAGACAAGTTTATACTAGCACTGCAATGAATAAAGTACAAATGTAGCCTGCTATGAATCCTAAGACAAGGAACATACCTGGAAGCTCAGATATTGATGTACTGCATGCAAATTTCTTTTGAAGTTCAGAGGCTAATGATTCAGCATCCAATAAGAAATACTCAACTCCTGAGACTCTCGTCACCTTCTTGTTTCCCTGCCGACGTTCAGCCATAATTTGTATTGGTCTAATAGAACCCTTGCGGATAGCAACCTCATTATCCCTACAAACCCTGTGGAAAGCTTGCATTCGATTTAGAAATGTTGCTCCTAGCTCCTTCTTCTGAATCTCTGTAGGGTACATTACACCCTTTTTAATGGATCCTTTGAAAAGAGCATCACAAAGTGTAGCATCTAAAATCACCATTGCTTTGTTCAATGGATTGGTTAGATTTTCTCTCTCTATGTATCTGTGATACACAATAACTGGATTAAGTTCAAAAGGATATGATAAAACAGACTTTTTCTTTTTAACTTAAATACTGGCAGTAATTAAAGAAAGCAGCACAAATAGAAATTTCATAGAAGATTTCCAACATGAGAGAAGGGGGCATGGGACAAAACCTGAAGACAACATCACTTGATTCTGAAGCAGTGTAATATTTTCCAGTATCAGCACCAACAGATGAGAATATGAGATTGACATGTGCGCTTGATTTGTAAAGCTCAACAACCTCAAGCTGTGATTTACTCTGGTGAGTATCACCTGCAGAAGAATCAGCCTTCTGATCAACAACATCAGTAACACGCTTCTCTGGCTTGAAAGATATATAGTCTGGATGTGCACGGTTCACAGAGAGCACTATAATTTCCTTCTTGTGTTTATCTTCCTTTGCCGATATCTACCAAATTGCAGAACCGAGTTAATAAAAATTTCAGTTAGAATTCAAACAAACCAAAATAATAATAATAATAATAATAAATTAAAATAAAAAATAAAAAAAAGGCAAAATGTTGAACAATGCCTTTGATCAGAGTCATAGTCTATAGCCTTTTAGCTCAAACAGAAAGTCATATTTTTCTATGGAAACCAGAAAACATGCAAAATTTGCATCCAAACCATAATCAATCATTGTAAAATTAAACATTCCACAATAAATTTGTGAAAATAAACCAAAATCATGATATCCAGATAATGATATATTAAACCAAAAATAAATCATGCTCAATCACAGAATAGAAAAATAAAATAACGAAAGAGTTTACCAAATCAAGGATGCAAATATCACGCCAGTACAAGAAAACTTGTCCCAAAAGGCAGCGATGAATCTTGCACCGCAATTGAATACTTCATATCCAACAAATGCAGATATTTTAGATGAAGGTAGAGATTTGATGTAATCATATTCCACTAGAATGTCCCGGTAATCCATATGCATTATCATCTCAACTCCCAATGATGGCAATCAAAACACTTGAAATGCAACAAAAGCTACTGTGCACAAACCGTGAATTAAAAGTAATCAAAACTGAAGCAACCGCATATATCACTAAATAACTTAATCACACTTAACATCTTAACACAAATATCTCAATTCAAGTTAGAGGCATTAATTAACACTTCACACGGCCTGACAAGTACGTCTAGAATTACAGCCTAATCTTCAAGCCCACTAATTAAAAACCTAGAAGAGAACCAACTACGGAAGAACACAGAGTCAACAGTTATGTAAAAATCAAGAAAAAAAAAAACTACCACTACTACCTTATATTTGTTGGACTTCAATCAAGGATATCCAAATAAATCATTTTGTAATTTTCACATTCCTAACGATTTGACATATAGGCCTCCGTATTATCTATTTCTAGTTTTGTGTCTTCCAAATAATTTTTCTAATTGCCCTTGTTGGAGCTAAACTTATTTACTCGATATAAGAAAACAATGAACCAGCAGAAAAGTAGACAGCCAACAACCAGCCCAGCTAAAGGATGATATAGGCATAACCAGAGATCCCGCAGATGAATAGACTCAAACCAGCTCAGTTGAGCTGAAGCAGCATAGACAGAGAGCAGAATATATTCTCTGAGGATCTTCATCGTAAGCATGTTCAGATAAAAATAAATTATTACAAAATTAAAAAAAAAATACTAAAATGAAGCAAAACTAAGGTAAAAATTAATAATACAAATTGCTGACTTGCATCAAATCTGGCCAGCTTAAGCAAAGAGAGTATTAGCTAGTAAAAAAGAAAAAATTGGCATATTAGATACACCTAATGAGAAAAAAAAATCAAGAGCATTGAATGAGGATTCCCAAGATGAAATAAAAAGGAATCCAAAGCATTGGTCTTAGGTTCATCATAAAAGTCAAGTCAGATTTTTTTTTAAGATGATTAATTCTAGAACTTCTCAAAGTTTCAATTTACAAGCATATGACTCAATGCATTGAGTTATTTTATATGCCTCAACTAGAGATGTAATTAAGTCAAACAAATTCATGCATTAGCTTAGGCTAGCCTCGCTACATTAGACATAAGCCAAGAAAATAGAGCTAATATGCCAAGTTTGGGCCAAACTCAACTTGACATGTCAGATAGTGTAGGAGCTTGTATAAAAAATATTAAAATAAAATTCACTCTGAACAAATTAGAACATAAGAGGTTGAAATCAAAATTATTAAACATATTTAAAATTCTTTGTTCTTTATCTAAATAAATTTCTTATTATTTCTATTAAAATCTTTCATTTTGGGTTTAACTCCAAATCATAATTTCACTTCCAAAAATGAGTCGGATAATGAGCCAACTCAAACTCAAATAATTAATCAAGCTCAAAATTAGTCTGAAAGTGGTTCATGCCAACTTAACTTTATCTACAACCACAACTACCACCTATACATTTGTTAATTTCTTAAAATCTATGATAGATAATTATTTTAGCATTTATAAAAATCATTACTTTATCATATGGTTTAATTTCATATATACCTCTTATTCACATTAACAGTAAACTTATAATTGTCATAATTAACAATTGATTTATGTGAATATTTTCAAGCAAATAGCAAATGAATAATATGATATGAGAAAATAATAAAAAAACATAAAAGTCCTCAAAGATATTAAAAAAGACAATATAATAAACTTTTGAAGTAAAAAATGATTTAAAAAAAGCTTAATACTAGACAAATCACACACAGAAAGATAAGCATATTTGAAAATGTATTTAAATAAACTAACTCAAATGTCTTTAAAATTAATTAGCTATGACAAATTATGCATTTTTAAATTTAATTGAATAGAACAACAACAACAACAACAACAACAACAAAGCTTTAATCCCACTATGTGGGGTATGCTACATGAATCCTTTTTCTCCATTGCATCCAATTTAGTGTCATATTTTCATTTAATTCTAATAAATTAAGAATATTTTTTATACAATAAGCCCAAGTCTTCCTAAGTTTACTCTGCCTTTCTTAACATAAGTCGAATCTAAAACATCCACTCTCCTAACCGGGTCATCAGATGGTCGACGTTTAATGTGACCAAACCATCTAAGACGGACGCCTCTCTCGAATTTTTTCCGACACAGGAGCTACACCAACCCTATCACGGATATATTAATTTCGCATTTTTTTCTCTATATGTAAAGCCACTCATCCACCTAATCATTCTCATCTCGGTAACACTTAGTATTATGCTTCTCTTTTAAAGGCCAACATCCAACGCCATAGAGCATTTTTTCTCTAAGTGTAAAGCCACTCATCCACCCAATCATTCTAGATTCTGATTTTATACAATAAGCCCAAGTCTTCCTAGGTCTACCTCTACCTTTCCGAACATAAGTTGAATCTAAAACATTTACTCTCCTAATCGGGTCATCGGATGGTCGACGTTTAATGTGACCAAACCATCTAAGACGACTTTCTCTAATTTTGTCCGCCACTAGGCTACACCAACCCTATCACGAATATATTCATTTCACATTTTTTCTCTAAGTGTAAAGCCACTCATCCACCCAATCATTCTAGATTCTGATTTTATACAATAAGCCCAAGTCTTCCTAGGTCTACCTCTACCTTTCCGAACATAAGTTGAATCTAAAACATTTACTCTCCTAATCGGGTCATCGGATGGTCGACGTTTAATGTGACCAAACCATCTAAGATGACTCTATCTAATTTTGTCTGTCACTAGGCTACACCAACCCTATCACGAATTAATCATTTCACATTTTTTCTCTACGTGAAAAGCCACTCATCCACCCAATCATTCTAGATTCTGATTTTATACAATAAGCCCAAGTCTTCCTAGGTCTACCTCTTCCTTTCAGAACATAAGACGAATCTAAAACATTTACTCTCCTAATCAAGTCATCGGATGGTCGACGTTTAATGTGACCAAACCATCTAAGACGACTTTCTCTAATTTTGTCCGCCACTAGGCTACACCAACCCTATCACGAATATATTCATTTCACATTTTTTCTCTAAGTGTAAAGCCACTCATCCACCTAATCATTCTCATCTTCGCAACACTTGACTTAGTATTATGCTTCTCTTTTAAAGGCCAACATTAAGTGCCATAGAGCATTGTAGGTCTCACCACCATCTTATAAAATTTCCTTTCAATCCAAGCATTACTTTTCTATCACACAAAAGGCTTGAAACATTCCTCCACTTCAACCAACCAACTTGAATTCTACTATTAACATCTCCATCTATACACCATCGCTTTGAACAACAGACCCGAGATATTTAAATCGTTCACACCTTATAATAAATTGATCACTCAAAGTTACACTTCTGTCACTAGAGCTGCTACTGCTAAAATTACATTCCATGTGCTCAGTTTTAGTCCATGTATTCAGTTTTAGTTCTACTCAAACAAAAGTCTTTAGACTCCAAGGTAGGCCTCCATAATTCAAGTTTTTCTTGAGTTTTTTCTCTTGTCTTATCCACGAAAAGGATAACATCAGCAAAAGCATACACCAAGTTACATCATCATGTAAATGTCTAGTAAGACCATCCATAACTAAAACAAAAAGATAACGGATTAAAGCCAATCCTTGACGTAATCCAACAGAAATAGAAAAATATTTGATCAGTCCTCCTTCAGTTCGAACACAAGTAACAGCTCAAGTATACAAATCTTCAATGACTTGAATATAAGTCATCCCAACACCTTTCTTCTCAAGGACTCTCCAAAGGATATCTCTCGGAACCTTATCGTAAGCTTTTACTATATCAACAAAAATCAAATGTAGATCCTGCTTATTATCTCTGAATTTCTCCATCAAACCTCTCAAAAAATGTATAGCTTCCATGGTAGACCTGCCCGCTATAAATCCAAATTGATTATGAGAAATCTTTGTAATACGTCTTAACCTAGTTCAATGATCCTCTCTCATAATTTTAAAGTATGACACATCAAATTAATTCCTCTATAATTTGCACACTCTTGTGTATCACCTTTATTCTTAAAAATGGGGACCAAAACACTCTTCTTCCACTCCTCAGGCATCTCTTTAGTTTTTAAAATAATATTAAAGATTTTAGTAAGCCAAGATTTTTTCTCTAAATGATATCCCAAATCTCCTAAATATTTCCACTTCAATTGGGATATCATCAAATCCTACAGACTTCCCACCCTTGGTTTTCTTTTAAAGCCTCCTCAATTCCTTTTTTACTAATTTGGCGGTAAAAATGAAATGTTCTATGATTATTAATGATATTAAGATCACTAAGGTCAATCGTATTTTCGGAAATTTCATTAAAAAGTTTATCAAAATAACTCACTCACCTATGTTGAATATCTTTTTTCTAAGAAAAACACTTCTGATTTTCATCTTTAACACACTTTACTTGAGTTAAATCTTTACGTTTCTTTTCTCCTTGTTTGGCTAGTTTATACATACAGACTTCACCCTCCTTAATATTTAATTTATTATAAAAATCACTAAAAGCAGAATTTTTAGCATCAAAGATTGTTTTTAGACCCCCTGCGGGCCGTTTAATGTTTTTCTCAGTCCTCCAAAGCTTTTACATTTAAATCAATTTTCATATCACAACTTTTTATATTTTATATTTTCTTGCAAATTATTATTCCACCATCAACAATTTTTATTTATAGAAACTTTTTCTTTTGATTCTCCAAGTACATCTTTTGCTACTTGTTTAATAATGTTTATTATTTTTTCTCATAGCTTTTGATTCTTCATGAACATAGCAAATTTTAAAATCTTGAATTTTACTCATAAAAATAATTTTATTTGTGTCTTTTTAGGTTCCCCCATCTAATTTTATAATGATGAGTTTTAGTATTCTTTATTTTACAACTCTTCATCTTAAAATCTAGAACTAATAATCGATGTTGGGTATTTAAATCCTCACTTAAAATGACCTTACAATCTTTGCAATCTCGACGACCTCTTATTCTCATAAGAAAATAATCAATTTGTGTTTTGTTTTAATCAATTTGTGTTTTATTAGATTCATTCTTATAAGTAATAAGATGTTCATCTCTTTTCTTGAATAAAGTATTAGTAATAACAAAATCATACGCTAAAATAAAATCTGAAAAGTCTCTAAATTCTTCATTAGTCACTCCAAAACCGTAACCACAATAAATGTTTATGAAATCTTCTACTACTCTACAGAAATGTTAAATCTCCTCCAATAAAAATTCTTTTTTCAAGTGGTATCATTTGTATTAAGTCTTCTTAGTCATTGCAAAATTTAATCGAATAGAAGTAACTGTAAATTTCAAATAATCTTAAAAGTACTTACTGCTAATATACGCTTATAAAAGTTGTTGCAACTTCACTTTCTCCTTTAGGTTCCCTTAATAGATATGTAAATTAAGAAACCAAGGACCAAAAGAAAGTCAATTTTTAGTTTGATTTGTATACCTAGCAATAATTTTAGTGGCAAGTCGATCTTTTCTTGATTTGTAGATCTAGCAATGGGTTGTTAAGCTGATTCAACTACAACACATATAATTTGTTCTCTCTCTCTCTCTCTCTCTCTCTCTCTATCTCTCTCACAGGCATCCACACAAAATCATTTCTATTTGTAATTTAGGTCAACTACAATCCATATTCGATTCTGATTTTAAACTCAAATTATAAATCACTAAATTTTTGGTTTAGATACATGAATGCATTTCTATAAGTGCATATTTAGATTCAACAAGTCAAATGTTGATTTACAATGTAACAACATATCATATTCTACATCTAATACGTCATCAATACGATCAAATTCAATCATATAGGGATTCTTGTGTTAGTGCTTTTCAATAGGCTTTAAATGAGATGCTATTAACTTTCCTTTTGAAATAAACATAGGCTCAAAATTCCTAAGAATAACAAGATAATTGTGATATTTCTAAATATCTACAGCTGTATAAAACCTTGCATAAGGCTTTTTTGTGAAGAGTAGTTAGTTCATTTCTAATTTTTTGCACTGGACCTTTAATAAAAGGGATAATGATAATATAATATTCTAATCTTTGATGGATGATAATATTTGATTACAATACCTTTAAACATTGCATGATATCCAAACACAACAGTCACTTTGTTTATAATTCTTAATTTGACCATGTAGTGGTGCCTATGTTCACTAAATGAAAGATATTATTCTTTAAGCTTATGCTTCATACAAGTTCATGAAAAGATAATAACAATATATCACCAAAATGATTGAGTATAACCTATAGTTTTGATTAACCAAATTCAACTATTTGAAAATTAGACATACTGTAACTTTCAAAGAGCTCTTCAAATTTATCAATCTAATTTAAACATTGCATATGATCATACCTATTATTAAATATAAGCATGACCCTTTTAATCTTAAGATAATCACATTATATTTGTCTAAAACTGTAGTTTACCCAATGTCATTACAATGATAATAAAAAAAAAATCATTAAAATTACATTATGTTATAATTTTATTGATTAACCCTATTATTATGTTCAACTTCACATTGACATGGAGATGTAAACTAAAGTTTTGATAACAAATCAGATGTAAGATGACCTAGAATATAAGGTTTTCTAATACATCTAAGATGAGATATACAAGATCAAGCACATAAAATCAAATTTGCAGTCCACACACTTTTAAATTAAATAAAAATCATCTAATTTGATGAAAACTATAAAACACACAAAATTCACTAGTAAAGATAATTTAATAATATACAAATTATACAAAAAAATTTGAGACCATTAAAAACCATACTTCAATCAAGGATCATTTTGTGGTTAGAAAATCTAGGTTGTAATAAATTTAACAAAAACTACTCATGCTTGTAAATAAATCACAAAAGAACTCATCACATAAGAGATCTAACCCCACATAAATATAAAAACAACTTCACCAAAAACTGGGACTCAATACTTACACTGGGGAAGAACTCACATCTAACAAAAACGTATGTTTAAGAAGTAAAAAATTCATCAAGGAGAAGTTCATTTACAGGTCTTGGTAATCCAGTATTTATAATCATTTAATTTGTAAAGTCAGCAGTTAGAAAATTGTTGATGTTAGAAGTTTTATTAGAAAATAAATTATTCTTGTGAAAAGTTAAGAGGAATAAACTATTTTCCTAAATTAGGAGTTATTTCCTATCATATTTTATATTTAATTCAATGGATTAGGAGTTATTTCCTTCCTATTTTAGGCATTACTATTTTATGCTATTTCCTTTATCTCCAAATATTTAATACGAATTGATTAATTAGAATTATTAGACAATATATCTTTCCTTTCATATTATTTCATTTTTATTATCTTTCTTATTCTAGGATTCATGTAAGGTTTATTTACACCATTTCTCATATAAATGAAAAATTCCTCTTTATTCCGCATTATTCTAAGTTTCAATATGGTATCAGAGTCAAATTTCCTACCCTAGTTGTTGGTCCTCGCTCGAGAGCCACTAAACTCCCTTCCTGCCATTCTTCCTGCAAGAAGGGAGGGGCACTTTTTCTCCCTGAAATATGGTCGCAATCACTCTCGGCTCTAGGCCTCACCATCTAGCCAGAAAAATTCGCGGCAACTCCAAACTTCATCTTTCTTCCCACGTCTTATGTTTCTTAGTTTTAATCAGCTCAACACTAGATTTTTTCGTTCTGTTGCGGGATCTACCCTCTGAATCCCCCCCGGGCTCTGATAAGCACGTCTTTCTAAGGTTTCCATCTTATTTTCTCCTTCATTTTAGCCATAATATGTCATCGACGGCTGCAGATCTACTGGAATCTCGCAAGTGGTGTCTCCACCGCTTATCTTTTACTTCGTCGTAGTCGGAGTAAGGAATCGACAACTTTGATCGGCTGTCAAACTCGATCTTGATTGTCATTTTCAACTGGATTAGCGACGTGAAGGGAATTGGATGGTGTTACGTCATCTCCTGTCGCTTCCACGCTATTGTTCCCCTCGTCGACAACATTGTCGTTCGTGTTGTCTGAGTTTTATCAGACGATCCTTCTCTCACTTGTCCATTTCCACTGCTATCTTTGGCAATAGAAACCGCAAAGATTTTCACATCTTGCTCGTTTCATTTTCGACGGGATTATACGACCCTTTTACGCCCTATGTCAGATTATATTTGTTCCCTCCTTCAAGAACGTTTCATCCTCCAATTTGGCGTCGTCCTCTTTCGCATATGAAGTATCAGACCATTCCCCTCTAAGTTGCTGAAGAATTTCAAAGAGATCCGGCGTCTTCGGACTAAGCTTCCACTTGGCAAACTTGGGGTTGATGAAGGTGTTCTTCTCAAATGAAAGGCTGTTTTTTGGCTCCACCCTTGACAACTGTGTCATCTTTGGTGCCGCATCTATCCTTTCCTCCAAATCTGCACATGTTAACCCCACACATGATCTTTGTGCTAGTGAAGACAATGGCAACATTCCTGAATCTTTCTATATGAATGGGGAACTGAAGCTTAGGGTTGTATGGACAATCAGTTCCCTCATTGCTGCCGCTGCACGACATTACTTCCTTCAACCCATCATCAGTGATCAAGAGACATTGGAGTTCTTGGATCTCACTGATGCAGATGGCCAAGGTGTGCTAACCATGGATAGATGTCAGCTACAAGATCTAAGAGTGAGGCCTACATCAGCTTCAGGTTCTTCACAACGGGCATTGGTTCCAGCACTCAGCATGAGGTCGTATGCTCCACTTCTTGAGATGTTAGGGGGATTGTTTCTGAAGTGGGGCAACATTGGTTGCTATCCGGCCTAGTGGAGATTCACGGAAGTAGTGGGAGGTTGTAGTATCGGCGGCAATTAGATTTGTCCTGGGTGTTAACCGCCTTGGAGGAACCATACAGGACTGCAGCAAAGATGCTTGAGAAGAGAACATATTATTTGAAGATGAATTCCTCCGGAGCTTTTTTCTATACCAGGCCCTCTAGAGCTTTTCATGCAACAGGTGCTCCACCAGAATTCCTCCTACATCAGGCCCTCATCCTAACTTTCTTTTGCATTTGGCCCTCCTCCAGAATCTTTCCTACAACAGACCTTCCTCCAAAGCTTTTTATACAACAGATCCTACCTCTGGACCCTTTCCTTTTTCTGCATGTCATACCCTACAGCGTTTTCTACACGTTTTCCACTTCCCTGAAAACTCCCCTGCAACAATACCTGTAGGAGCCTTCTGCCTACCTTCAGACACTGCAGGAACTACAGCCAATGACAATTGCAGTCAACTAGAAGTAAGCATTTCCTGCAAACTCCCCTGCAATATTATCTGTAGAAGTTTTCCGCCTACCAACAGACACTACATGCAGTTAAAGATAACCATAATTGTTTACTTCCCTGCAAATTCCCCTGCAGCATTATATGTAGGAGACTTCTGCCTATCTAAAGAGACTGCATGAACTGCAGTTAAACACAATCGCAATTGTCTACTTCCCAGCAAACTCCCTGCAGCATTACCTGTAGGAGCATTCCACCTACCTACAGATACTGTAACAACTGCAGTCAGTGACAACCGAAGTACGGCATGAACACTTCAAGTTTTACTTCGCATGATCTTCCTTGCCCATTGTTTGATATTTTCAAATCTAAGTTAAGCATGATTTTCAACTATGTTTCAACTTGAGAGGGAGTGGTAGAAGTTATATTAAAAAATAATTTATTCCTATGACAAATTATGAAGAATAAATGATTTCCTTATATTATAAGTTATTTTCTTTCTTTTTTTTTATATTTATTTTCAGGCATTATGAGTTATTTCTTTCCTATTTTAGGCCTTACTATTTTATGTTATTTTTTTTATCTCCAAAAAATTAATATGAATTGATTAAATTAGAATTATTAGTGAAATATTTTTCCTTTCATACTATTTCATTTTTATTATTTTTTTTTATCTTAGGATTCTAAGTAAGGGTTATTTACACCCTCTCTCATATAAACAAAAAGTTCTGCTTTAATCTGAACTATTCTGAATTTCAACATTTAAAATCCAACAAAGGTCAAAGTGCTTAATTTACGAATCACAAGTAGTCAAAATTGCTAACCATCATAACTCAATATCATGGCTTGATAGGAAAATTATACTTCACATTAAAGCCACAAATTTGCACTTAATTTTGAAAAAACAAGCCAAACATCTCAAATCACAACCCAATTAAAGTTTCATCAATTGATAAACGATGGTAACCAATCTTAATGTCATCAAGTATCCAAAGAAGTGACTAAAAGTTCAGTTAATAAACAAAAGTGAACAAGAAGCTAGAGAAGATTTATCAAAAGGCTGACTCGAGTATTAAACTACTTGACTTCTGACTTTAAGGGTACTGATCTCAATTTGAGAGGCTTGTTACCAATCTTGTGCCCATCATAGCATAAATAAAATGGGATAATTACATACAAACATTCCGAAATATTGATATTTATAAATTAAGAACCTAGGTGATTTTTTTTTGAACTACCGAACGATGTATTAACTAATGTCGCGGTTAAACTATTGCAAATTTAATAAAAATAAAAAATACGGGTAAGGGTTTTACAATGAATTTTGATATTTGAGTGAGAATTTGAAAATTGGATGAGAGATGGTGGTTCATTGTAAAAAGTAAGTTTCGGGTGGTATGTGTGTAATTGCCCCAAATAAAATATATAGGATAGATTTGTCTTTAAAAATATAAAAAAAACGATTATAGAACACTGAACAAAAACTGACCACAAACTAAAAAACAAACAACCAACACAAATGGAGCTCGAAAGAAGAACTTGGAAACAAACATGAATAAATTCAAAAAAACACAAGGAAAAGGAGCAAATCAAAAAATCACTAAAGAACACAGCCCATTATCTTTAAGGATCATCATCACATACACATATACATCAAAATAAACTACAACAACAACAACAACAACAAAGCCTTAATCCCACTACGTGGGGTCGGCTACATGAATCCTTTTTCTCCATTGCATCCTATTTAGTGTCATATTTTCATTTAGTTCTAGTAAATTAAGATCATTTTTAATACAATAAGCCCAAGTCTTCCTAGGTCTACCTCTGCCTTTCTTAACACAAGTCGAATTTAAAACATCTACTCTCCTAATCGGATCATCTAATGGTCGACGTTTAATATGACCAAACCATCTAAGACGACTTTCTCTAATTTTGTCTGTCACAGGAGCTACACCAACCCTATCACGAATATATTCATTCTGCATTTTGTCTCTAAGTGTAAAGCCACTCATCCACCTAATCATTCTCATCTCGGCAACACTTAACTTATTATTATGCTTCTCTTTTAAAGGCCAACATTCAACGCCATAGAGCATTGCAGGTCTCACCACCATCTTATAAAATTTTCCTTTCAGTCTTAGCGGTACTTTTCTATCACACAAAAGGCCCGAAGCATTCCTCCACTTCAACCAACCAACTTGAATTCTACTATTAACATCCCCATCTATATCACCATCGCTTTGGACAACGGACCCAAGATATCTAAATCGTTCACACCTTTTAATAATTTGATCACCCAAAGTCACACTTCTGTCACTAGAGCTATTACTACTAAAATTACATTCCATGTATTCAATTTTAGTATATGGGCTTAAAGTCGATCCCTAATGTAAACCAACAGAAATAGTAAAATATTTTGTCAATCCTCCTTCAGTTTGAACACAAGTAACAGCTCTAGTATACATATCTTTAATGACTTGAATATAAGTCATATCAACACATTTCTTCTCGAGAACTCTCCAAAGGATATCTCTTGGAACCTTATCGTAAGCTTTTTCTAAATCAATAAAAATCAAATGTAGATTCTCCTTATTATCTCTGAACTTCTCCATCAAACCTCTCAATAAATGTATATCTTTCATAGTAGACCTGCCCGACGTAAATCCAAATTGATTATGAGAAACTTTTGTGATGCGTCTTCACCTATGTTCAATTACCCTCTCCCATAATTTTAAAGTATGACACATCAACTTAATTCCTCTATAGTTTGCACACTCTTGTGCATCCCCTTTATTCTTAAAAATGGGGATCAAAATACTCTTCCTCCACTCCTCAGGCATCTTTTTAGTTTTTAAAATAATATTAAAGAGTTTAGTAAGCCAAGAAACTCCCAAATCTCCCAAATATTTCCACACTTCAATTGGGATATCATCAGGTCCTACAGACTTTCCACCCTTGGTTTTCTTTAAAGCCTCCTCAACTTCTTTTTTGCTAATGCGACGGTAAAAATGAAACGTTTTATTATTATTTACGATATTAAAATCACTAAGTTCGATCGTATTTTCAGAAACTTCATTAAAAAGTTTATCAAAGTAACTCACCCACCTATGTTGAATATCTTTTTCTAAGAAAAGTACTTTTTGATTTTCATCTTTAATACACTTTACTTGAGTTAAATCTTTACTTTTCTTTTCTCTTTGTTTGGCTAGTTTATACAAATATTTTTCACCCTCCTTAGTATCTAATCTATTATAAAGATCATTAAAAGCAGAATTTTTAGCATCACAGATTGTTCTTTTAGACTCCCTGCGAGCCGTTAGATATTTTCTCCAGTTCTCTAAACTTTTACATTTAAATCAATTTTTATAACATAACTTCTTATATTTTATCTTTTCTTGCACATTATTATTCCACCACCAACTATTTTTATTTGTAAATATTTTTCCCTTTGATTCTCCAAGAACAACTTTTGCAACCTGTTTAATAGTGTTTGTTACTTTATCCCACATCACATTTGCTTCTTCATGAATATCCCAAATTTTGAAATCTTGAATTTTACTCTTTGCTTGAAAAGTTGTACCATATTGAGTAAAATTTAGTAAAATACATCAAAATAAACTAATATAAACTAAAATATTATTAAAATGAAAACAACTAAGGTAAAATTTAGTAAAATTTAGTAAAATTATATCACATAATGACCTACGTTGACTGAATTATTTCCCTCTTTGCTTGAAAAGTTGTACCATATTGCAGTGCTTATTGTCATTATTATATTTGCCTATGTTGACCTAAATATAACAAACACAAATCAACAAAAATGAATGAAATAAATTTGAGCTGTGTTGATTGCAATTCAAATTGGACTGAAGGACCTATTTGTATAATTAAGCATATTAAAGCCTGCTTAGCAGTAAATTAAAAATAAATAGAGATTTTGTTGTCTTCATTCAAGCATGGTGAACATAACAGGTGTCGCGGCAATATCACGTAGATAAGAGTCAAAGTGACCCGACTGATAGCAAAATCGTTCAACTGATGTCCGATCGCAAATGGACTGGAATGTCAAAATTTCCTTAAGAGAACACCCTTATTGACGAGGCTTTTGTGCAGAAGTCAGTGACGCATAAGTAGAGACATAAAATTAAAGAAATTTGCACGAAAAACAAAAATTTACAAAAAAAAAACTATTTATGCCAAGAAATGCATTATATATATATATATATATATATA